TCCCATCCAGCCATATTGGTAATATTCCACCAGTGAACAGTGTTTTCCAGACTTGCCTCTCGGGACGTGGGCTTCCCGCGGAAGAACTCGTGGTTGAGGGAGCTGTGGGGAGGGTTGAAGCGCGCCTGCAGGAACACGCAGCCGTTGGCGATGGCCTCCAGCGGGGCCGGGCCCTCGTAGGGGAACCCAAAGCCAATGAAGAGCTGCAAGGCACAAACACAGTGCTGCTGAATTGTCGGAACCCAGGACATCCTCCTGAGCAGAAAGACCCCTGCCAGGGGGCTCAGAGACCCTGGCACAGAGCACAACACACCTGTGGTTTTGATTATGACCCATGGAGCAAGTTACCAACCTCAGATGAAGATCTGCGAGCCATGACAGTTAAGTAGAATAACAGTGAATTTATCATGGAGTGAAAAGGTAGATTTTGGGGTTTTCTAGAATGGGTGTTCAGGGGGCAAGATGGAGGGATCTGGGCATGTCCAGCCTTTCTCCTTCTTCTTCTTGGCCTCCATCTTCTGCAGTGATGTTGGCACTTTGGGATTGGTTTAGCGTAGAAGCTCACTGTCTAACATAGGTGACAGGTATTGGGAAGTAATTGTAAATATTGCACACGTAGTTTTTAGTATATAAAGATAACACTGCCCCAAGGGCAGGCAGAGTGCCTGGACTGTCTTGCTAATGGACATCAGCTGGACAGGAGAAAATATTTTATAGATAAGGAACCTTGAGACTGAGAACTGAAGAGCTCTGACTCCTTCTTCAAGCACCAGACTGGGGAAAGAGACTTTCTAATGTATCTCAGGGTCACTCTGACCAGCAAGAGGCCACGAGACTGAGTGATTCTCCCCAGAGGGAAACCTCCCAGATAAACCCACCAACATCCCCTCCCCTCTCGGCTGCTCTGCTCCTGCACACCAACTCTCTAAAGGGGTTCAACAAGTTATGCTGAAAATTTCCCCTTTTCACAGAATTCATAGAATGACCAGGTTGGAAGAGACCTTCAAGATCATCAAGACCAGCCCAGCCCCAACCCCTCAGCTAAACCCTGACACCCAGTGCCACATCCAGGCTTTGTTAAACACATCCAGGGGTGGTGACTCTACCACCTCCCTGGGCAGCCATTCCAGAACTTTATCACTCTTTCTGTGAAAAACTTTTTTCCCTGATATCCAACCTGTATTTCCCTTGGTGCAGCTTGAGGCTGTGTGCTCTGGTTCTGTCAGGAGAAAGAGCCCAGCCCCAGCTGAGCACAAGCACCTTTCAGGGAGTTGTAGAGAGTGATAGGGTCACCCCCGAGTCTCCTTTTTCCAGGATGCACGACCCCACTCCATCAACCACAGCCCACTTTGCACAGCCATGGAGTTTCCAGGAGCTGCAAGATCCCCCATGGTGCTTACAGCCATCACTTTGGCCCTGCATGGAGTAACATTGTTTTGCCACAGCTGTTTGGGCTGGTAAGTCAGGAATACTTCCCCCAGGCAGCAGCTGAAGGAAACGGGGATGTGCCCACACCCACACACTGCAAGAATCTGGTTTATTTTTATCACAGCTATAAGGTGAAAAAAAAACCCCACCCCACTCAGCAATAAATGAATTAATGAGGAAACTTTGCACTCTGCCTGTAGACCCGTGGACAGTCTGCAAGGAGAAACTCCTTAGACACATCTTGATCTGAAATGTGCTCTGCTTGGCTCCTGCCTAATTATCCCTCGTGGTTAATTATCCCAGCTGGAAGTGCCTGCAGGCCTGGGAGGGGCACAGGTAATGGGGGACAGGGTCCTGGGATGGCCTCACCCACCTTTGCCTTCCTCAGCAGCTGCTGGAACTCGTGCTGGGGCAGCAGCCCGTGGTTCTTGACAAATGCTGGCACCTCAGGTGGCCTCTGTGTCTCATAATAAACAGTGCCATGGATCTCCATGTACTTGTTGAGGATGGCCAGGAACTTCTCCTTGCCCTGGGGAGGAAGGCAGAGATGTGAACTACACCAAAGGATGGGTCTGACCTCCTCCCTGTGGTTATGGGGGGGTTTAACTCTCAAACTGCTGTGCCAGAGCACCTGCCATGCTTCAGGCAGACCCACAGCAGTGCAAAATCCCCACCTGTCCCTCTTCATTCCTGGGAAACACATCCTGGACTGCCCCAGGCTCCTGCAGAGCCCCAATGGCTGCAGGATCCGTCACTCTGATCATCAGGTTCCTGCCTCCCCTGTCCCCTCCAAGGGCAGCTTCCACTCTGGAGCTGCTGAATTAAAGGCTTCAGAGGGCTCAGAAGGAACCTGAGCTTGCTAATAGCCACTTATTCCAAGTAACAAGTTCCAAGGATTTTCTCATTCAGATTTAATCCTGTTTCACTACCTGGAAAATGAAAGGGGTCATCAATTTTCTTCTCTTGGAGGCTTCCCTCCTTTTGCTCCAAAGCAGCCTTTCTTTATTAACAATTTTTTTACTGGAGAGTTTTTTTGCTTGAAAAAAACCACAAAGGGCCCATCCTTTGGATTCTGGATTTTCCAGTGCTGCAACAGCCCCAAAAGAGCAAAGACCAGGGGGAATAAGGATTTCTAAATGGGGAGTTTGAGGAAACTCTGTATGTTGCCTTAAACCCTCCTCAAATGCTGAATTTCTGCCCTCAGCCATGGATCCCTGGAATCCTCCAAGGCTCTAAGGCTTTCCCAGCTTATTAAAACTTCAGCTCCTATTGTGAGCCAGAGGCAAGAAGTTCAGAGGGGTAGGAAATGAGAAATAAAGGGAAGGGAGGTTTAATGAAATGTTTCTAAATGTCAAAAACATCCTGCTCTGGAGAGGGTGTTTGGTCCAAGGCTGGTAAATGAGCACCTGGCTCCAGAAGATGGAGGTGGTCTGTGCCTTTCTAGATCTCAAAATCACTCAAAATAAGGAAAAACTCCTCTATTCGCTTTTTTATTCCATGGAGTGTACAAGATGGGAAGCAAAGGCCAGGCAGCCTGGCCTCAAGGAGCCCCAGCCTCTTCACCCAGCAATAAATGACCCAAGATATGCAGTTTGGGGGAAAAACTGATGTTGTTTGTGAGTTCTGACTCAAAACAGCAAATGCCTGTAGCACCCTGGGTGGAGGGAAATGTCCATTCTGGGGTTTGAACTCTCTTTAGTGCCTTCCCAAATTACCTTTGCTAAGCTCCAAGGAAACTTCTGGATAAAAAAGGGCAGGGGAACGGTAGAAAAATAAGACAAGATGTTGCAGTTCTCCTAAAATGAGATTTAGTGGGTTTCAGTAGGGCTTTTAGGGAGCTCCAAACCAGGCAGAGGCAGGGGGGATTTGTTCTCAGACCTGGGCAGGGATGGAAACCCCACAAACACCAGCAAAGAGGAGACAGCCTGGCTGGATCCTGGCTCACCACAAGCATCCCTGCTAATTAGCAGCTGCTAATCAGGAAAGCTGGGAAGGGGAGGAGGTACAGCCCTCACTGCATCAACCCATATCAATCCCAGCAGCTCCAGAGGACCCAGCTCACGTCAAGGCAAAGTTGAGTCTGACAGAAACCTTTTCTCTCCCGAGAAGAGGAGCAGAGGCAAAGCCCAGCAGCAGCTGGTGTGGTACAGTACCTGCAACTGGAGCAGCCCCAGGCGGTGCACAGAGGGAAAAATAGAAATAAATCAACAATGAGACAATGAGAATTAGCTCCTTTTTACAGCCCTGGAAGGAAAAGCAGCTTGCTAGCTCTGGATAAGGTGGGGGGAGCATGCACAGCCCCTCTGGAGATGCAGGGGGGTGTTTTTGGTGCCTCCCCACCCCTCTCCCCCAGGTGTTCCAGGCTCAGGGAGCACAACCCCTTTTCACAGAGTGCTTGAAAGCAGACACAAACTATCCCCATCATAATGCAGCAATCACTGCAATTAATTAGTGGCAATCATTATAGCTAATTACATAAAATCATCAATATGAAATCCTCAGCCTCAGAGCCTGCTGGGAGGAAGCACCGCCCAGAGCAAGGAGCAGGGAATGGTGTCCCACCAGCCTCTCCCTGTTTGTGGGAGGCTCTGGATGTGTCCCATCACTCCCCCAGCACCAGGACAAGCATGGTTCTCCACAAACACACCCAGATCTGCACCTCCACAGCTCAGGGTGAGATCCAGAGGCTGGGGCTGCCTCCCAGCCCTGCCTGTGCCTACCCCTGCCTGCCTGGCTTGTCCCCAGCAGCCCAAGGACACCCACCTTCCAGATGCTGGCCTCCTTGCCATACACCACGGCCATGCTGCTGACTTTGTTGGCCTTGATGAGCTGCTTCTCAGTCTGGTTGAGCTCCTCTGACACGAAGCCCATGAAGGAGTTGTCAGGGGTGTGAGCTGTGGGCACCAAGGGGAGGAGACAGACAGCTGGAGAGATGTTTTTTGGATGTACCCAGGGGTGGGGATACAGCCTGAGATGAGCTTGGCTACAAAACCTTGCTGGAGGAAAATGGAGCTTGAATCCCTATCCAGGCAGCTCATGAAATCCAGGCTTCAGAACCCACTCGAGCAGCCCTTCACACAGTGAGGTGTTTTTAGGCTGCCAGAGGGGCTTCACACAGCCAGGAAAATGGAATGCTTGAGTCACCCAGAACCCCCCCTTTTTCTTCCTCTCTCTCTATCCTGCATCTCCTTTCCAACCCTTCTATCCCATTTGCTGTGGGCTCTCAATAAAGGTGCACTCCTTTTGATTAATACTGAAATTCCCTCTGTGTTGCTTTTCTGAGATCAGTGAACAAACCATCACGACCTGTAGCAGGCCCTAAGCCTGCAAGGGCTCCCTGGTGGTCAGAAGCCTAAGACAGGAAATGCCAAGTCATGGTGACTGTGCTAGAAGCCCCTGTTCTGCCTTTGGACCCCTGCTTATCTCTCTCTAAGACTATAGGTCACTTTCCTTTAACTCTTGCTATTGGACCATTTGCAAAACACCTGAATCCTATATAGAGAGCTGCTTTTGCCCAGCTTGGGCAGAAGAGCTTGTCACAGACATGTTTTTATGAAAAATTCTTTCCTTAGGATTTTTTCTCCTGAGAAGCTGAGAGGCCTCAGGAACAAAATGTAAACAATGATTATCTGCTGCTGTGGAATGCAACAGGTGCATCTGTGATTGGTCTCATAGAATTGTTTCTATTTAATGGCCAATTACAGTCAGCTGGCTCGGACTCTCTGTCCCAGACACAAGCCTTTGTTATCATTCTTTCTTTTGCTATTCTTAGCTATCCTTCTGATGAAACCCCTTCTTCTATTCTTTTAGTATGGTTTTAATATTATATCATAAAATAATAAATCAGCCTTCTGAGACATGGTGTCAGATCCTCATCTCTTCCCTCATCCTGGGACCCCAACGCCGTCACACCCATTTGTACAAGCAGATCGTGTCAAGCCCCTGCTGCAGGCAGACACGCCAGGCTGCAGCACTCACGGAACATGGTCATGAACTGGCTGGGCTGCAGGTTCCAGTAGCCCCAGTTGGTGCGGTAGCCGCGCAGCGTGGCGTACTCCTCGTGGTTGTAGGCTGGCTCTGTCCCAAAGGTGTCGATGACCCGGACACGGCACCTGCGGGGCACACACCCCCTGAGGACACCTGCTGTCCCCAGGAACCCCATCTGCACCCCAAGGAGAGTGAGAGGAATGGTGGATTTGTCTTTACAAACCAGCTGTGGGTCTGCTGGTACATAAAACCAGCACTGGGAAATAAAAAAAAACAACAGGAAGGATTCCATTGATTGATGAATGGAAAAAGATATTTCCTTTTACAAATAAACTTTAGGTTTGTTGATAAATGAAGTTGGATATTGAAAGATGAAAGAAACAATGGGGAAAAACCATGAATTCCATAAGAATTAAAAACTAAAAGGGAGTGTTATACATTATCATGCCAGCAGAAGAACCCACAGTGTGAGGGGCAGGGGCTGCAGGAGGGGAGCAGAGATGCAGCTCATTGCTCCTGAAGCTGTTGGCCGTGGATCCCAAGTGAAAGGAATAGTGGATTTTTCTTTACAAACCAGCTGTGGGTCTGCTGGTACATAAAACCAGCACTGAGAGATAAAAGAAACAATTGAGAGGATTGCACTGATTGATGAATTGAAAAAGATATTTGCTTTTACAAATAAACTTTAGGTTTGCTGATAAATGAAGTTGGATATTGAAAGATGAAAGAAACAATGGGGGAAAACCATGAATTCCATAAGAATTAAAAATTAAAAGGGAGTGTTGTACATTAGAGTGGAATCTTGGGTATTAGGCATTTCAGGAAGTCTGTACCTCTCAAGTACCTCAGCCAATGGGGAAAGAGAGAAGGGAAATGTGGCCAGGAAATTGAGGTAAAAAGGAGGTTGCATCCTCCAAAAATTTGAGAGATCCCAGGGGAATGCCCCATGGCCTCTCCCTTTATTCCAGTGAAGTAAAAGGACTCCTCTTACTCCTTTTTGGACATAAACTTCTGAATTTTCCTGACAAAAGGGTGCAGCAACATCCCAAGGAGCCCTTCCCAGCACTGCTCCCTCCTTGCAGGACAATTTCCCTTTGCAGGACCCTCAGCTCCCCAGCAGCTGTGAGAATGATGAACCTCCCAAAAGTCTATTATTAATGCCTTTCCCAATATCCTGGGAATGCTGAGGCAGGCACTACCAGCACAAGGCTGAGGAGAGAAGAGGAACAACAAGCAAGGGAAGAGCGAAACAAGCTGAATTCAAAAGCAAATGCATTTATAATAAAAGCAATAACAGAGCTTGTCATTTTTCTCTCTAATAAAATTGTGTAGGATAGTGGAAGAGATGGGAAAAAATGTAATAAATAGCTGGTCTATCAGCACTAAATTAAATCGCAGATTTTCCAGGCTGGTGATGTACCAGGGGATGATGACATTTGTCTTGATGTTCAAGGAGCCAGGGATAGGGCTCCTTACAAATTCCCAAGGCTCACCCTCCCCTGGCTGCAGGAATGGAATGGAAGCACACATCAACACACTGCAGGCACATGCAGGGTTTGGTCTTTCCTCCAACTCTCTCTCTTTTATTGAGGTTTTTTCCTAAATACCTGAGGCTCAGAATGCCTCATGCTGTGGCAGCAGGGGACACAGCAAGGCACCAGGCAGGCAAAAATCAAAGGTAAAATCAAAGGGTCTGGCTCCTTGGGTGGGTCATTAATCTTTGCTTGCTAATTAATGAAATGGAGATGAAGAGCAGGCTTTGCTTACCTGTATTTCTTAAAGGAGAGCCCCATGTGCTGCTTCATCTGCTGGAGGCCGTGGTAGTCGGTGTAAATCAGGTCGAAAGGCAGAGGACTGGTCAGGGGGCAGTTCCCCCGTCCTGGAGGCACCCCTAAGTGACTGGGGAGAAGCAGGAGGGATCAGCCCCCAGCACAAACACTCCTTTCCCTGCTGAGCCATCAAACAGCTCCTCTTTGATGGAGGGGGAGGCAGATGGTTCTCCTCGCCCCAGTTTTTATTTCCCAGGCCAAAGATCTGGAGAGTCCTGGTCCCTCCCCATCTTTGCAGCTGCTCTAGCTGAGCTCCTGCTCCTCCCAGATGGACTGTGAGGCACAGCATCCCCAGCGAGGGCTCTCCAGCACCCCAGTCCCCACACACCCTCCCTTGGACCTCTCTTGTTGAAGACACCAGATTTCGTTTACTTTCATTTCAGTCACACCAGTGACAGACTTGTAAAGCCACATCTTTCCTTTCCTCTCTGCCTGCAAGGTTCCCAGCTGAGCCTAAAGCTCCCTGTTCCCAGCTCCACATCCCTGGAATGTCTCTCTTATTCCACTCCTTCCCCACCACATCCCAGAGCACTCTCAGCTTTCTCCTTGACTCTGCTGGCAATGCCTGTCCTTGTATGCTGGACACATTTCATTCATATTTCTCACTTTTGGTCCCATTTATGAAATAATTCCATAAAACAGGGGGCAGCTGGGCCCTGGGTCTCACTCAGGGGGTTTCCAGCCAGTTCCTTACAAACAGCCACACTCAGCCCCTCTGCCCTGCTCCAGTGGATAAAATGCACTATGAAAATCCAGATAAACTCAACTGACAGTAATCTCTTTATCAAGACCATCAGTTACCTTGCTGCCTGAGCAAGATGTGATTAATCCAGCAAGATACAGGGCTGCTAAACCTGTGGTGTGTCTCCTTCCATTTCCAATTACCTCTGTGAACTGATGAATCCCTCTCTCCAAAGCTGTTCCACCAAGTGTACCACTGATGTCAGCCTGACAGCCCATCTGCTTGTCTGGACCATATTTCCTCCTTCTCAGAAAAAAAAAAAAGCCCTGTGACACCTTCCAGCTTCAGCAGGTTTCTCAAAAATCCATGTTGCTTGTACTTGTGATTTCCCAGTGCCAGTTTGCTCAGAGGCTGATTCACTCCGCAGTTTTAATGCTCCTGTATTTTGTTTTTCCTCCTAAAGATGATAATTCCTCATCCTCCTAACTTCATTCACACCCAAAAAGCAGAATTATCCTCATGGAAAACCAAACTGCTGAGCTGCTTTGGTCCACCCAGGCTGTCTCACTCCCACCACGCAGTTGTCCCGTTCCGTTCTCAGTCCTTCCAACAAGGCTGAGGAATTCCTGGTTTATTTCACAAGTCTGAGCTCAGACACTGTGAAATCTCACCCTTAGCTCCTGCCTGCCAGGACGTCTGTCTTTGTTTTCTTCTGGGTTCTTCTCTTACTCCAAACCTCTATTTGTAGATGGGAATTCATCCCAGCCATGCCTGTAGGTATTTTCTCTTCTTTAGGAATAAAAGTTCTGGTCAGGCTTTACACTCCCAGGCTTTGAATCTTTCCTTCTGTGTGACTTCTCTTACTGGTTCTCTCAATTTCTCAGCATTTTCCTTTCTGAACCTGAGAATTCCCTTTCCAGCCCTACCTGGGGTTTATGTGTTCCTCAGCTGAAGTTCAAGTGGACCCAGGGTCCATCCTCTGAGGAGCACTTCCATAAGGTCCTCAGCCAAGCCCTTCAGCATTTCACCTTTCAATCCCATGGCTGCTTCCAGAGGGAATTGATGGCTTTCCTATCCAGGAAAAGCCAAGGGACACAATTGTCACAAGGATCTACTTTCCACAGAAGGAGAACGAGCCACCCAGAGCCAGAAATTTGTTGGCCATATGAAATATGGTAAAGGGCTCTTGGTTGTCTCCTGGACACACCTCCCTCTTCTTCTGAACCTGACCTGGAGGAAGATGCCCCTGCTCATTGCAGGAGTTTGGACCAGAACACCTTTAAAAGGTCCCTCTGAACTCAGACTTTTCTATTATTCTGATGTGGCTCCAAGCCCTTGAGCACTGAGAATCAAGATCCTTCTTCCAGCCCCATCCCAACCTGACCCAGTGCAGAGCCACCCCCAACTCCTGACTATGACAGGGACTCCAGAAAATGTGTAAATGTGGAACAACCTCGCTGGCCAAAGCCAGGAAAAACAGAGAATTTCAATTTAAGACAAAGAGCTGCTTTTGCAGCTGCTTCATTGCTCTTGTCAGAAGGAATCTCAGCATCAGCTCAGGGCAGCCTGGCCGGGGATGCCGCAGGGGGAACAGGTTGCAGTTTTGTCACTTTTATGCACAATTTTACACGACAGGACTGATTGGGAAGATGGCAGGAATAGAAAGGCTCTCACCTCCCACAGCCACCTCGGTACAATAAATAGGGCACCAAGGAGACTCAGTCTCCCGGGAAGGCTGAAGGGGAATTTTTAAGCCAGGATTTTGTAGAGATGGAATTCTAAACAACACATTTGCTCACACAGTGCTGCTTTTTCCTCAGTCATCAGACAAACAGTGATTTACACCAACCTGCACTGTGGTAGAACCAATCCATAAAGCTTGTATTTAACTAAAAATCCCCAAACCATTACACTGTGCTTGCAGCACACACCATCCTCTAGCTGGTACATGTCACACAAACCACTGCACTACAAAATAATCTGTAATTTAAGGAAGCCCTAACCAAGCTTGACGAGGGGCTGCAGGAGGCAGCAATTAGTGTAACTCATACTGAAGCCTCCAAAAAAGTTTCCACCAGTTGGGAAGAGCAGGTCTGACTCTCCCAAATCCCATCAGCACCACAATCTGCCACACATCCCCTCTCCAGGTGCTCAGGACTTGCCACATCCATTTATACTCCCTGTGCCATGGCTGCGTGGCTGGAATAGCTCTGAGAGCAGGAGCAGTGCTTTGAGCAGAACATCCCTCCATTTACCCCCCTTATCCTCCCTAAACACTTTATAACCACTGATTTTAATATTCCACTCATGCAAATCCAGCCTGCACCTCTGAGATGGGGGCGGGGGGGAGAATTTTTTTTTTTTATTCCTCCTTATTTAAACATTCTTTATTCAGGCTTTCATCATTTGCCAGTTAAGTCAACTAATTTTCTACTAAACCAAATTTCACTCATGGTTGGAGTGCAATTTCCCTGATTTTTCCTCATGCCATGTACTATTAATGGCGCTTGAAATTACGCAAATAAAATTGATGAGCGCAAACGCCGCCTTCGCCGCCAGCACAGCCCGGGGATCTGCTGGGGAAACCTCCCCTCCCAGACCAGCCATGGGTGGTGACCAGCTCAGCACCTCTGGCTGGTGATCCAGGGCTTTGTCCCATCCCAAATCCTGCATCAGCTGAGCCCTGGCTCCTCTCTGGGAGGGAGCAGCCGGAGCGGCTCCGATCCAAGCGGATGCCGAGCTCGCCTCCCCGCCAGCTGCCTCCACCAGCTGTGCCTACTCCAGAATAAATCTCCAGCAGCTTCTTGCCCTGCTATTTTCCTCTCAGAGGTACTTTAATCAGCCAGGGGACCGTCTCCTCCCTGGGCATGGTGCAGGCGCTCTGGAGTCAGATGACTGCAGGGTTATCTTTACATCCCATTGACCTATTTTCAAATTAACCCGAAGCTTCTTTCTGCACTATCACTCCTGGTGCTGAGAAGTCCAGGACTAAATGGATCTCGTGGGCATCTCCTGGCAGCCTGGGCCAATATTTTGTATTATGTTTAATTGCATCTTCTCTGCCCACATCTGTGCCATCAGCAAGGCTGAGAACAGACCAGGGATCCTGTTCTCACTGCTCCCTGAGCTGCAAGAGCCCAGCAGGCACAGGGATGTTATCCAGGGATTAAAGGTGCCAGAGCCAGGCCTGAGCAACTCCCAGGGGTCTGTGACAACCCCATCACAGCCAAGAAGTGCAAATCTAAGCCCACAGAATGAACATCCTACTGCTTGCCCTCTGCCCCCAGCTCTTTCCCTGCTGGAATGAACACTCACTGCAAATGAGGTTTTCAAACCAATTTCATCACCTGCAACGGTTTCACTTTTGCAAAGTACACCTGGACTGTTTCTCTGGTCCATCATTGATCTTGTATGACACAGCCCTACCCATCCAGGGAGGAAGTTCAGTAATCCTTTTATTTATTTCCAAGATCTAGAGATGCACAGGACGGCGCCAGAACAAACACTTCTTTCTGGTCAGAGACTCAGCAAATATGAAGGAACTTCCCAGGAAAGGAGAAATCAATACTTGGATTCCTGCAGGGAGCAGCAGAAACTGAGCACTCACGTGCTGGTAGTGCCTGAGCAGACCCTGGGACAGATGGGCTGCTCTCCTGCTGTCCCAGCTGCTCCAGCAGCTCCAAAAAAGGGAAGAAATTCTCCCTTGTGAGGGTGGTGAGGCCCTGGCAGAGGCTGCCCAGAGAAGCTGTGGCTGCCCCATCCATGGGAGAGCCCAAAGTCAGGTTGGAATCGAGCACCAGGAGCACCTGGTAAAGGCTGAAGGTTCCTCCCCAGTGGTGCAGAGCTGATCAATCCACAGCTTTTCCCTGCAGCTCCATCAGGATCACATGGAATCAGCCACTTCTGGCTGTTTCCACAAGCAGTTCCTTTCTCTCCCACACAACAGCAGGACTGGTTTCGCCAGCTGGCAAGGGGAGCGAAGCCAGAGCCTGGGCATGGCGCAGGTTTTCATGTGAACAGATGTGAGACAGAAAGATGGCTTTAATCTGCCAGGAGACAATCAGAAATGTGCTTTCTGGACATGGTGTTTCCATCTGAACAGCCCTTTTTGCAGCCTGAGCACACCTCAGTGAGCACAGAAAGAGCAGGAAAATCACAGCTCTTGCTGAGTGCCAGGCACTGAGAGGAGATGGGGCAGTGGGAGCAGAGCCAAGGCCCACCACAGCTCCAAGGCTCCATCCTCCCCACCCCAGCACAGGGAGGGTGGCTCAGCACCCAGCATGCTGGCCACAGCAGGAAAGGGCTGCCAGCACCGGGTACAGGCACGTGCTGCAAACCCAGCGCTTTGCCAGGACTAGAATTAAGAGTCCAGAACTTGACACAGGAGCAATTAAGCTCCAGGAACGCTTTGTAAAGCCCTGACCCCAAGAGGCATCAAATCCCATTTTCTTCGACTTTCTGTCCTGCTTTATGAGCAGTTAATTTCGAGGGGACCATTGAGAAAATCACCTTTCAGTGCTTTTCTGAACTCCCCAGCAGCTCACAGCTCTGCAGCCCCTTCTCCCCCAGCCTCTTCCTTAGCTCCAGAAAAGCAGCTGGACATGCCAAGATGACCACTCCCATGGCTCAAGGATGAGGGTAGGAGATGCAGCATCCAGGAGTGCCCCTTGTGCTGCTCCTCCCAGGGAAAAAGGCTGAGAGGATCCTTCCTGCCTGACCCCAGGGCACGGGTTTATTAAAGCTTTTTTCGCGGGCACAGCCATTGCTCCAAAGTGCTGCTTGTAATTTTCCACCATCTACTCATGAGCTGCCTCATTAACAACCCAGCTCAGAGCTTTCAGGCACTTCCCACTCCTCCCCTAGCAAGCAACACCAACACTGGCCTGGATTCTCACCTCCCTGAAAGCACTTTTGGGCTACCAACACAGCACCAGGGATCTTCAGCATGAATCAAGTGTTGCTGTTCAGATTTGGGGTTCTGCTTCTTCCCTCCCTGCTTCAAGACAAGGCTCAAAATGCTGCTGGCTACCCACCCAGCACAAATCTCAGAGAGAAAACAGCTCCTGGCTCCCTGCTCCAGCTCAGCATTTCGTTTTCCTTCTGGGAAGATGCACACAGAAATACAGAATGGTTTGGGTTGGGAGGGAACATATAACCCTGTGATTCACCCTTTACCTCTCCAGAGGCACCAGAAGCAGCTCACAAATTCACTGTGAGTTCAAAGGAGAATAAACACCTGCACTTAGCTCAACTACAGGAGAAAAAATAGCCCCTGGGTAGGACTCGCAGTGGAATTCACAGATCTTTAAAGTCTGTAGTGGGTAAAAGATAACCCAAATAAACTGGCCCTGAAAAACCAATCTGTGATCTCAGACCCCACAGGGACATTTGGACAGTGCTGAGCTGAGCTGAGGATGAAGTCTGCAGATTCCCTGAGCTCCTTATCTTTGTTCCAGGTTAGCATCAGTCCCTGAACCAGAGGAAGAAGCATTTGACACCCCTGGCCCTCACTGCTGGGCAGGGAGAGGTGCCCAGCACACACATGGGTGTCACACTCCCAACATGTTTTCACCCCCACCCCTCCATCACCAGCTTTTTTGACCAGGGGCTTACTTCTCCTCCTTCATTTTCTTGATCCTCAGCATTCCTGACCCACTCCAGACCACTCCAGGCACTGCTGCATTGCAATCAATACAGATGCTAATCATGAACAGCTCTGATAACCACTGGCTGAAGTGTATGCAGGCAAATCTTCCAGTGATCCCTTGCCAATGATCAATACAAGCAGAAAAATCAGCTCAGAAATTTGAAGAGACAAAAAAAAAAACAAAATCCAAACCAGGAGAGAGGTTAATCTGTGCTGAATAATTTATGTACTCCAGTGAAGGCTTTGCTGGGCTGGAGCAGCCACAGCTCCCAGCCATGAAAAGAGCAGGGTTTGCCAAAGAAAAATACACAAGGATGGTGTCAACATTTCACACTCCTGGAGCAAAATATCCCCAAACCCACCTTTACACTGCTCAGGCAAAATATCCCCAAACCCACCCCAACACTGCTCAAGGTCAGCAAGAGACAGCCAGGATGGGAGAGGACAGATTCAGGCTCAGTCTACAGAAGAGCAAAGCTTTGCTGCTTCAAGGGGGTGCAGGGGACAGCAGGAACAAAGAATCAGAGTGCCTGGGTTGCCACTTCCCCAGGGACAGGGATTTGGCTTTGCTGCATCCCCCAGCACAGCTCCAGCCCTTTGTGCATCCCTGGCTCTCTGCAACCCCTGCCCAAGGCTGTGGCTGCAGGTAAAACACCTCCAGGCTGTAAGGAAGAGCCCGAGATTAACTCTTAGCACACCTCAGGACTAATTACTCATGTTCTGCTAAGCCTCCCACTCGCTCCTGGTCACAAAAGCTTTTCCCAGCTCTCCTCAGAGGCAGCAGCCCAGCAGCAGGGATGCCACTGACAGATCTGCAGGATCCAGCACCAGGATTGCTGGCACTGTTCATTCCTCTGCCTCTCTTTGACACCCACATTAACCCATCTCCTGAGGGGCTGCACAAAGGTGTCACTGGTGGCACTCCAAGCACTGGGCTTGGTCTCCAAAGGGACAGAGGGATGTGGTTACATCCCAGCTCCTGCCTGCACTGACCCCAGCCCACTGAGAGGAATAGTGGATTTGTCTTTACAAACAAGCTGTGGGTCTGCTGGTAGCTAAAAGCAACACTGGGAGATCAAAGAAACAATGGGAAGGATTTCATTGATTGATGAATGGAAAAATATATTTGCCTTTACAAATAAACTGCAGGTTTGCTGATAAATGAAATTAGATGTTGAAAGATGAAAGAAACAATGGGGAAGAAAAACCCCTAAATTCTGTAAGAATTAAAAATTAAGAGGGAGAGTTGTACATTAGAGGGGAATCTCTGGTATCAGGTGTATGGGAAGTCTGAACCTCTCAAGTACCTCAGCCAATGGGGAAAGAGAGAAGGGAAATGTGGGAAATTGGGGTAGAAAGGGAGGCTGTGTCCTCCAAAAATCTGAGATCCCAGGGGAATGCCCCATGGCCGCTCCCTTTATTTGAATAAAGTAAAAGAACTCCTCTGTCTCCTTTTTTGCACATAAAGCTGTGGTGTTTGTGGATTAATTTTCGTAACACCATCAACATGAAAGTGAGCACTCAATGTGGGTGTCCAGCATTTAAAACATCACCAAAGGCAGGCACAGGACATGTGTTTGGGGAGGTGGGGACATTTTCTGGGACATTGAGAAGAGCAAGATGTGCAGCCCCTGCCCAGCTCGCTCGCTTCCCATCTCAGCTACCCAGGGGAAGAGACAGAGCTGCCATTCCCAGGAGTCCCAAGGGACACATCCAAATCTGCATCAGAGGAGGAGTTCTCATCACTGAGAGGTGACGGGGAAGCTCCCAGGATTCTGGCAAAGGCAAAATACTCCAGGCAGCAGGGCAGCTCTCACCAGAGTCACTCACAGAGGGAAACGGGTTCTGCAAAAGCTCCCCGCCTCCCTAAACAACCACCGTGAGGTTTGTCATTATAAAACACAAACAAGAACCACACAACAGCAACAACACAGCCCTCCCAGCCATTAACTCCTTTCATCCTTGACTACACGGGTATTATTTAGCATGTCACTCCTGCCTCTTGGAGGAGATGCTGCCTCTTGCATTAGGACCGGGATTTTTTTAAAGTTAATTAGTTAGGAGCTAATTCAATCCATTAATTCTGAATGCTGCAAGGGCTGGGTTGGGGGTTTTGTTGTTTTCTCCAGGATTGTTGGTTTTTTTCACTCCCTTTTCAGCATGGCTCATTATGTGGCTGATGCTGGCTTAGCATCTCCTAAAGTCTGCCCAGTCCCTGAGGCAGCTCCAGGCTCTTCTTGATTTATAACCCATCTAATTTGCAATTTCCTTGGTTCTTGCCCTCTAATCAGGAGGAGAACAAACATTATGAGGTGACAGAAGGCAGCAGTGTCAGCCCAGTAATAACAGAGAGGAACATCAGCAGAGAGGAACAGGGCCCACTCTTAGCTTCTCCCTCTTTTTCCATCTAATATTGGTTTCTCTTGGAGACTGCCATCCTGTGTTGCCCCATGTCAGAAAGAGACAATCCCTTTGTGGGAAGTGCCTCCAGCAGCAGCAAATTCCCCCACAGGTCCTCAAGTCACCCCCAGCACCTCCTGAGAGGGAAGGGAAGGGAAGGGAAGGGAAGGGAAGGGAAGGGAAGGGAAGGGAAGGGAAGGGAAGGGAAGGGAAGGGAAGGGAAGGGAAGGGAAGGGAAGGGAAGGGAAGGGAAGGGAAGGGAAGGGAAGGGAAGGGAAGGGCTGCTCAACCACCAGCAAAGCCCCAGGGGCTGAGTGCAGCCATGCATGGTGGGAAGAGCCAGTGACCCACAGGACAGCTGCATCCTGCAGCCACCTGGCCACCAGCCCAGCAGGGAACATCCCTGGGGAATGGGCTGGCAAAGGGAGCTTTCCCATGGCCAGCTCCAGGCAGGTGTCAGGGGACACAGGTGATGCTGTGTGCTGGCAGCAGGAACCATTCTGCTCAGATCAAGCACTGAAGCCACGGGCAGAGCCCTGCTCCAGATATGTCCACATCAGCTCCATGCAAAGCATCACCATCAGTCCTTCCCACTTTCCAGGGATGCAGAAGGATGGGATCTCTCCTAGCCACAACACTGGTGGTGCAGCACAGCACCAGCACTGTCTGAGATGCAGGTGGGCAAAGAGCCTCCCCCAGCCTTCTCAGACCTGCTGCTTCCACCCAAGACCTTGATGCCATCCAGCACTCACCTCTGCAGCTCCTTCAGGGAGACTGTGACCCTCAGGCTGTGTCCCAGCATGAAGAGGGCAGCCAGGATGTCAGCCCACTGCACCATCTCACCCAGAGGGCCTCCCTTCAGCACCCGTGGGCTGAAAACGTCCCCTGACTCCTCTGTCAGGAAGCCAATATGGACAAGGATCTGCAGAGACAAGGAGAGGGGTCAGCACTGGGGAAAGGAACCATCTGGGTTTTCCAGCCCAGAATGACTTATGGTCCCTGATTCCCTCCAGCTCCTTTGCAGGCTGTAATTACTCAGGGAGCTCAGTCAGGTGTGCAGACAAATGAGCCGTGTCCAATTAGCACAGACCCAATGGCCAGAGCTTGGCCCTTTGACTGCCATTCTATGTCCTGGGGCCTGGCTTGTGCTCTCCATGTACATCACAGTCTGAACCATGGGCTGGAGCTGAATTTCCCAGCACACAGGGGCCAAAGGCACAACAGAAACGCCAACAGGAGGGCCAGGAACCTCAGCTTATCCTCAGAGGAGACCTGTCACACTCCAATGGCAGCCAGACACCATCTCCACCCACCAGGACCCATTTCCAAAATTCACCCCACTGCTCAGCAACACCAGTCCTGCCACATCCCAAATGCCTGTGAAGCCATGCCCATGGACAAGAGACCAACCCTACAGACCCACATGTGGCATTCACATTCTCTGGAAATGCCCAAATGCCATTTTCCCTTTGCCCAGGATTTTTCTTCTGGAAAGCTGAGAAGCCTCAGAGAAAAGGAAAACAATTCTTATCTCATTTGTTTCTCCTGTGTTGTACTCATGTGGAATGTGTTTGGAGATTGTTTACCCACAGGTGATTGTTTCATTGGATTCTGCTGAGTTATTTTCACTCATTGCCCAGTCAGGGCCAAGCTGTGCCAGGACTCTGGAGAGAGTCACGAGTTTTCATTATTATTTTTTTAGTATATCTTATA